CCCCCCGCCACTGCGTCACGTGACGCGTGTGGGCGGGGCCTCTGCTCGCGCAGCCGGGGCTTCAGTCCTCGCTCTGCCCATGCGCGCCGGGAGGGGGCGGGGTCCTGGCCGCGTGACTCCGCCCCCGCCGCTTGTGAAGACCCCGGTACGTCGAGCCCTGGGGACTGCAGTGGCCTTTGCACGTGCCTTCCTGTCGGAGCCGGAGCCGGGCTTCTGGCTGGGGAGCCGTGCCGGGCGGAGGCTGAGGGAAGCCTCCCGGGGATGAACTTGAGCAAGCCGGGAAGCCTTACGTGAAAATGATTAACCAGCCTAGAGCTGAAGGTTGTGAAGACGAGGGAGGTGGGGAGGGCATTAGGATTGGGGCAGGGAAATGGCTGAATTCAAGTAAAACTACTGACCAAGGTAGAGGCGATCTCTCCTCTTAGACCACCTAGACGGTTGCAAAAAACGTGTCTTTATTTGCACGTTTCCAGGCTCACGCAGCCTCCTCGGGCAGAGGAGAATGCAAAGACTGTCACATTTCTCCCAAGTGGAAATGAAAATGAATACTGCACAGGAGAGCTGGAGGGCGACCAAAGCATCCATGTGGGATGGGACAGGTTAAGCCTCCTCCCCGTGACTGCCCTTTGCACTGCTGAGCTGTGCTCTGTGTGCACAGCCAATACCTAATTTTTCTGCCGGAATATAGAGAAGTCCATCAAAATGAACCAGTTAAAGGGCCCTCTGCTTGGCTCCTGCAGTAACCAAATCACATCCACATCTAGTAAAATGCCTGAACTATTTAATTCATACTTTTTACATAAAATATTTTTCATGAAAGAAGCAAGACAGACACATCAGGGTGCAGTTCAACAGGAATACCCATGTGTCATTGATGTATATATTTATAGGTGCTAGGGTTGGAAGGGACCTCATCAGATCATCGAGTCCAACCCCCTGCCTAGGCAGGGAAGAGTGCTGGGGTCAGATGACCCCAGCCAGATGCCTATCAAGCCTTCTCTTAAAGACCCCCAAGGTAGGGGAGAGCACTGCCTCCTTTAAAAGCCCATTCCAAATTCTGGCCACTCTCACCGTGAAGTTCGTCCTGATGTGTTTTAGGATGAACAAGATTTATGTGATAGTGTTGGAGCAATGTAGCCACAATGGTCCAGGAGCTACAGGAGAGGCAAGGATTTTTGTGGCGATATCTTTTATTGAACCAGCTTCCTGTTTGGGTTACACTTAGACAAGCTTTCACATGTAAGATATTCTTCATCTGGTGACTGGCAAATACCAGTAATTAGAATACCAAGTTTCACAAGGGGAACTTCCCAGCTTGATCATGGTAGTCTTGGATTGTGGTGCATCCCAGCAGTCACTGGTTTGAGATAGGAATGCCTTTAGAAGTCTAGCTGTGATCATGTTGTTTGATTTCATACATTATAATTTGGTGAAGCAGAAGCAGCTTTAGCTTCTGTGACTTGAGAGACAATCTAGTCAGCCACTAGCATCAAACTCCATCAGATAACTAGGTTATCTGCAAGGCATTCTAAAGTCTGTATGGGCATGTCCACATGTGTGTGTACATTTGGTTTCCTGATGACAATTAGCAGTGGTGCACCTTGTATGGCAGGTTGCCCCAGGTGGGGTAGGGGTGGCTGGGGCAAAAACTGAAGAAATCAAACTAGAATTTAATATATTCAAACAGCACACACCTGTACCCTAACAACCAGGCTTTAAAAGTTTTAAAATGTCATAAGGTTTCCTCTCATAAATTCCTAATAGTATTGAATTAGGACTGAAAGACGTTGCTCTCTACTCGAGATTTACCGTTCCTGCCTGCCTCCATCTCATCATTTATTTGTATTATACCACTGCAGTTTAGCACCTGAACAACAGAAGGGAGAAATCTTTAACTTGTTTGTAACGTAGCACCTACACTTGTGACACTGAAAAGGTAATATCTACTAACTATAATTCTGAGGCTTTAAGTCATCTTGCTTAACATAACTGTCTGTTGTGCATTTGGCAGGTCATCTTAAAATCGTAACTGCCCGATTTCATAAGTGCTGCTACTTGCAGGGCCTGCTTATTGATCATCACCCACTCATATTAAACATGTACAAACAAAAGCACCATTTCCACAGTAAATTTTTGATAATGAGGCCTTGCCTATCTCACTATTTTTGGTATAGGCTTGGAGGTAAGCCAAGAGGCAAATGTATTTATTTACAAAACTCTGCAACACAGAAAACAGATCTTTAGCTTGAGGAAATGGGCTGCAAGCAGGGAAGACAGGAAAGAAAGGAGAAGCTAGTTATCTTTCTCACTCAGAAAATAAGTCTATTTTCCTTTTATAGCTGAGCAATTCCCAACCCAAGAAAAGGGTCAATCCCCAATTCAAGAAAAGGGTCATGGATGCACGAGACGCATTACTGAACTTTGCTGACCCCATGGCTAGAAGCTGAGAGAACAGTAAATTTGTGGCAACTGTTACCTGACACCTAAGCCATTCATCCTAGCTGCTTTCACTCAGCTGGAAAGGTGAAGAGCAGTTTATTGCTGGAAGCAGCTACTCCAGACAGGCTGGAGAGCTTCAAGTGTCTTAGAACTATAAATAAGTGATCAGAAACTGGTTTAAACCTGTAATAGAACAGATGTTCAGTGCACATAAAACAGTTTGAAAATGGCTGAAACCAGTTTGAGATAAACCTGGTTGAATGTAGTATCAGACTTAACTGATTTGGCTCAAACCAGTTTATGCAATGTCTGTCCCTGACCTATTACTTCAAACTCTTCTTCAACAGCTTACCAGCTGATCTGTTGATTAGCTCCAAATAGCCCTAAGTGGTCACTGTGCTGTCTGCCTGTCCCAGTGAAATTGGAGAGAGATGCACAGAGACCCCTCTCAGCATTAACTAGCACACCACGTGCCTAGGGTCCATGGGGCTGGAGTCCCTGCTGTGGGAGATGGGAGGGTGGGGGGAGAATCCCTGCTTGAACAGCAAGCAGTGGGGGAAGGGGGCATAGGGCAAGGTAAAGCCAGGCAGACCCTGTTGTGTCTGCAGTCTCTGCGGGAGCTCCAGCCAGGGAGCAGAGGGGAGGGGCTAGTCCTGCTGTGGAACAGAGAGCCCTGCCCAGCCCAGACAGCATGCTGGGATGCTGGGGGAGTCTGGTTTATTTTAAACCAGCAAGGATAGAGTGTGGTTGGGAATTTAGAAGTACATTTAGAAATGGAAGGCAGGGCAGGGTAGCACCTTAGAAATTAATTGGTTTAAAGACAAGGTTCTTTGGGTAAATGTAATCTCTTTTATTTGACCAACTAAATAGTTGGAAAAATTGTTCTTTGTAAACTTTCAGGCACAAACACTCTTCTTCAGGCATAGGGAGAGTGCTGTTTTGTGTTCTGGGTGGGACAGAAGGCAATATTAAAAATGCAGGTCAGTGAAAAATGCAAATGCATGGCAGTGAGGATCAGAGGCCATGGGCAACTGGTGCCTCCTGAGTCGGGGGGGGGGGGGTCCCCCCCAGTCAGTCAGTCATCAACCGGGCCAGCTAGTCAGTCCCCTGCAACTGATCCCGCAGATGTGCCGCTGACACTTCCAAGTGAGCACAAGCGGCTGCGGGGGGGCACCGCTTCTCCTGGTGTCCCTACTCTCTGGTTGGTGCCCTCAGGGGGGACACCAGCACTCTCACCTGCCCCCCTTCCCTGCCCAAGAACACTGGCTGTGCACCCCCTATGTGTCGCCACTGTCAGAGGCCATGGAAGGCAATAGGTGAGAGACAGGTGGCTGTGTGGGGGGAAAGGAGGGAATGTTGGTCTGGTGTTAGAATGTAGCTAGTAAAATGTAGAGAGGTTACGTGGCATTACCAGATGGCAGGCAGGCAGGTTGGTTGGTTATAATGTGCCATAAGTTTTTGTAAGGCAACAGCCTACTTCATCAGATGCTGTTGCTTACAAGTTTATGCCTCTGAATTAGCTAGTTTTTAAAAGGTGCTGCCTTACCCTGCCTTCTGCCTGACTTCAGACTAACATGGCTAACTATCTCTCTCAACTGAGAAATGATAGCATTCACTGAATAGAGGGATCTTTTCAGGGCTTTGGGACTTTGGTTGAGAAGGTGCCACCATTTAGTTAATATTCTTAAAACTGATTTATTTGTATAAAGTGAGCTGTGTGCAGAAATTTAAATAATTAGATATACTGGAGAATTTGATACCAAGCAGGTTATTCGTTCAGAGATAACTGCAGTATCCCCTTATGAGGGGAGGCTTTTTCCTTCCACACTTCCTATAAAGTATTTATTTTATTTATAATGATTTATAATGAAGAAAAATATTAGTAGCTTTCATAGCTACAGGTGAAATTAAAATAAGCAAGGTGGGAGCTGCAAGGAGAGAGATTACAGTGCATTTTATGAAGATGAGGTTCTGAAAAAAAAATGTAGTGAGCAACATAGCAGCTAAGAAACCAGGTGCCTGAGGCACTGGACCCTAATGAATAGAGGCACAGGCAAGTTTAAGCTTTTTAGTCTAGCTCAGTGGTTCTTAACCCGTTTTACACTCGAGGCACCCCTCCATACCTTTTGCAAATTGAGCAGCACCCCATTTTGAAAACTAGTTTATTGTAGACAGTTTATTAATGGCACTGAGCATGTGCTTATCTCCTCATAACCAGTGGTATTCCTTAAGGATCTCACAGCCATGGTTAAAATTTGCTGCTCTAACTTCTATTCAGGACTGATGTATATCTAATCCCAAATCAGGTTGTCTTTGTTTTGTCAGTAATTTAGATCAGTACACTTGTTGCTTGCTCTATTGCAGGAGTGCTCAACCTTCTGGCATGTGGACCACATGAGGTGGTAAATGGCCAGTCCATGGGTTGAATATGGCATGCAGGGTCAGTCCATGGGTATGATCTAGGTTTCTGGCCCAGCTGCACATACTGGCCTGACACCACATGCTGGTCCAACATCACACCAGCTCTGGCTGTGGGTTGGTGCTA